ACGTCTCCGCGTCGCTGTCGCGCATCGCGTCGCCGAGCGACCGCGCGACGACGCGCTCGAGGAGCCCCGACGCGCCCCAGGTCACGCGGACGACGCGCACCTCGGACGCCGGGAAGACCTCCTCGAGCTCGCCGCCCCGCGCGTCGCGCGCCTGGAGCCACGGCCCCGTGTGGCGGACGACGGCGCGGAGCAGCCTCCGGTGGCTGACGAGGCAGACGGACTCGAAGGGCAGCGACCGGAGCCAGGCGACGGCCCCGCCCGCGCGCGCCGCGAGGGCCGCCTCGTCCTCGACCAGCGCCTCCCGGAGCACGTAGCCGTCGGGCGACGCGTCGTCGGCCGCCGCGATGGTCGACGCGTCGACCGTGGGAAAGTCCGCCGCGACGACGTCCGCGCGGTCGCGCTCGTCGCAGGGCAGGCCCCCCCGCTGCTCCCGGAGCGCGTCCACGGCGACGACGGGCACCTCGACGCGGCCGTCGGCGAGGATCGTCGCCGTCTCGAGGGTCCGGTGCAGCGGGCTCGCGAAGAACGCCTCCGGCCGCGGGTAGTGGGGCCGTGCGAGGAGCGCGTCGAGCTCCTGGGCCGCGCGCGCCGACTGCGCGCGCCCGCGGTCCGTGAGGCCCGCGTTGAAGAACTCCTCGCCGGCCGGGTCCGCGAGCTCCGCGGGCTTCTCCGCCGCCGGGTCGCGCGCGAGCGCCGCCGCGTGCGCGACGTCGCGCTCGACCTCCGCCGCGATCTCGTGGACGCCTTCGCCGTGGCGCGCGAGGTAGACGACCTTGGTGACGCGCTTGCCGGTCTGTGGCGCGGCGGCCGGCGCGTCCGACAACGTCCGCTGCGACGCGACGCGGGTCCACCGCCGCCGCGCGGCGGACGGCGCGGCGACCGGAGGCGGCGGACTAAACGTCTCGTCCGCCGCTTCCCCCATCCCAACTCACTGCTCCATCCAATTCACTGCACCATCCGCGCATGCACGCGAAACTCTTTGTCCATGCGCTATCCTAAACTTCACTTTGACCGCACCACGCCGAACTTGTGACTTTCTCTCTCTCTCGAGGGGCGGCTGGGATCCCGCCACAGGAGAGAGAGAGAGAAAGCTCGCCGTGCACGCGTGCGCATGGCCCCCCGGGCGACTCGACGTCGTCCTTCGGAGATGGACGACGCCCGCCGGGCGCGGCGCCGCTCGAGCTCAACAGGCGTTATCGCCGTAGGAGGCCGCGTAGGCCGGGTCGTCGCTCTGGAAGTCGACGTCCGCGGCGCGCCGCCGCGCCGTCGGCGCGAGGCGGAGCTCGATCAGGCGGAGCTCGAGGGCCGAGTGGACGTTCGCCGGCGCCGGGTCGGGCAAGAAGGACGCGGGGTCGTGCTCCTCCACGGAGAAGCCGCGCGCGGCCGCCTCGCGGAAGAACAGGTCCTTCGTCGAGTTCGCGCGCGCCACGAAGCCCACGAAGAAGGCCGCCTCGTCGCAGGTCGACGCCGCCAGGAGCGCCGCGACGGTCTGGAGCAGGGGCGCCACGAGCTTGGGCCAGCAGACGACGTCCGCGCCGACGACGTAGTCGAACGACGCGCCCGCGGCGACGGCCTCGAAGCTCGGCCGGTCGCCCCACAGCAGGCGCGCCACGGAGGCGCTCCGGGGCCGCAGTGCCTCGACGGCGCGCTCGAGCAGGCGCACGACGACGTCGGAGCCGTCCGTGAGCGCGACGCGGTCCGCGCCGACGGCGTCGGCGACGAGCCCGGGCAGCCCGCAGCCCGCGCCGACCTCGAGGACCCGCGCGCCGGCGAAGCGGCGCCGATTCGCGGCGACGAACCAGGCGAGGAGCACGCTCACGGGCCAGACCACCTGGCCCGTGAGGTCGTGGTCCGTCGACGCCGACGTGAGGCAGAGCACGCGCTGCGTGACGCCGCCGACGTCGAAGGCGACGGTCTCGTAGTCCTCGTTGAGGAAGAGGGAACTCTCGAAGTAGCAGGCGTCGTCGTCGTCGCCGGCGTCGTCGTCGTCGCCGGCGTCGTCGTTCGCGTCCCGCAGCGCGCTCATGGAGACCTTGGGCTTTTTGGGCATCGCCTGTGGCAACTACTTCACGGTCTGATCGGCCGTGGGAGAGCAGCCTAAAAACTCGGAGAGCAGCATCATCAACACCCGCCGAGCGCCACGGAATTTGTGAGTTAGGAAAGCAAAGCGATTACTCCTCGTCGGCAGCACGGCAGCACTCCCCGTCGGCAGCATTCCCGGCGACGGGACGAGGCGCAGCCCCAAGGACGCACCCCGCAGCCGGCCGTAAAGCGAGCACTCCCCGGTCCTCGTCGGCGGGCACTCCTGGGGCAGCCTTCTTGGGGCTGCACTCGTCCCAGCCCCCAACCAAACTCAACGCCGACGGCAACGCAAGCCATGAGCATGGCCTTCCTCGAGACATTGATCAAGTGGGAGGAGTCGAGCCCGCTCGACGTGGCCCGCGCGCTGCGAGAGGCCGACGCCTTCGCGGCGCACCACGAGGACCTCGCGCGCTACGCGCGGGGCCTCGCGGGCCGCATCGCCCAGGAGACGGGCGGCTTCACGGGCGACGAGTTCTCGCTCGACAGCTCCGCGCCGCAGTCGCCGACGAAGGACTTCCCGCGGTCGCCGCCGACGCCGAAGCGCAAGGCGCCGCTGTCGCCGCTCGCCGGCGGGCCGCTGCCGCTGGGGCTGCCGCCGCGGCGCGCGGGCGCGGCCGCGGGGCCGAACCCCTACGACCTCGACAGCCCGGACGTCGCGTCCTACGCGTCCCTCGAGCACCGCATCGAGCGGCGCGCGTCCTTCGACCGCTGCAGCGAGGAGCGCGCGTCCTTCGAGCGCGAGCGGCGCGGCTCGCGGCGGAGCGACCACGACGACGCGCTCGGCGCGGCGTCGCGCGAGCGGCGGGGGTCCCAGGAGCCACGGCACCGCGGGT